TTTTTTCCTGTGACCAGACGAAAAGTAGCCGGCGGTAAAAGTTCAAGTAGCCGGCGGAACTCCGCCGGCCGCCGGCTTATTCTGAAACCCCTGTCCTACAGCGCTTGTACTTGACTGGGCTTCAGCGATTTCTCCGTGGTCCATGTTCTTGTTTATTGCACTTTATTCTCGTTATTTTTTGGGATCAAATACACTGAAATTTCGATTTATCCTCGTCGCCAATGTTGTGCTGTGCACATGCATGCTTTATTAATCTAAATGTCTTTACACTCAGGTACTATGAATATATGATTACATGTTTACGTGTTAGCAATACGTTACTGAATAATTAACAATTATAATTACACATTAAGTTATTACACTAGGGGGCGGATTTTGTTGTTGCCTGTGACATTAGACACAGGGTCTGTGAGAGTGTCAGAACGGGTAATTTGGGAGGCCTTCAAAAAGGCAGTGTCTAATAGAGAGGTAGGATAGCCACGTTGCACAAAAAAGTGTCTCATCTCCAGACTTTTGGCCTGAAAGTCTTCGTCTTCGCTGCAGATACGGCAATGACGAAGGAACTGAGAGAAGGTAGTCGATCTTTTGGTGTGGTTAGGGTGGGAAGAGGAACATAGAAAATAGCTATAGGAATCAGTGGGCTTGTAGAACACACAAGTAACTAGTTACGTTTGTTACCATTGATTGATACAAGGATATCTATAAGAATGATACCACAGATATCTTATATATACACTAGATAGTGCATCTAATTATTCTGCAATTCAAAAATTGAAGACGTGATTGCAGTCTCAGGTCGTTCCCATGAAATGAGAAGATTCGTATGTTTTCTATTTCTTAAACAGGGAACTTAAACATTAAGTTAACCCTATTCCAAATACGTTTTTAAACTATTCAAATAATGAAACTTAGTGTTGTTTTTGTAAGCGTTTATTAGCAAGTGGGAACGATCAACATGGCCGCCATCTATTCAAATGGGGGTAACAGCTGGAATATTCTTGGGTTCAATTTTACTAAATGAGATGCGCTATCTAGTGTATATAAGATATCTATGAATGATACACTGGTCTCACTGATCTTCCATGTAAACTAGAGTGCTGGATGGAAATTCGACAGGAGAACATGATGCTGTGCCAAGACAGTCATGTATGTACCTACCAAGGTAATCAGGGATGGGATCAGTGTACTGTTCGAAGATTTGCTTTTCCACAAAACCAACAAACAAATAATTAGCATAGTTGGATCCCATTTTTGTTCCCATGGTTTTATATGGCTACACTATTTATCTGTTGGTTATGCTCACCATCAAAGGGTATGTAAGCACCAACTCGGCCAATCGGACCAAAGCAGAAGTGGTCGGTTCCTGGTTAGGGCGTTTATTGAGTTTATCTAGAAAGAATTTGAGAGGCCTTAAACCATCATGATGCGGATCGAATTACTGTATATAAGGATTTGACGTCCATGGTGAAAATGAATTTGTGAGTGCATGCCATGAAAATGAATGTTCTGGAGAATTTGGAGAGCATGATTGGTATCCTTGATATAGGATGGTACGTCCTTAACCAAGGGTGCCATAACAGGATCGAGAAAACTGGAGATGATTTCGGTGGGAAAACCACAAGCAGAGATAATAGGTCTACCTGGGTTGTCAGGTTTGTGAATTTTGGGCAAGAAGTACATGACAGGTGTGCGAGGTGTGATGTGTATGAGGATTTTGGCAGTCTCAGGGAGATCACCAGTGGTGATAAAGTTATGAATGGTCTGAGTGATGGTGGTTTGATGAATGGAAGACAAATCCTTCTCAACCTATCAGGACTGCATGGGCGGGGGGCGGTGCCCCCCCCCCTCCCGCGTGGGTTCAGCTGACATAGTGCCATGCAGGCATTCAAATTATAAGTAACAATAGGTTAATTTCTAAAGTTCTTCTATTTTTGAGACACTCTGTAGGTTAAACCAATTCAAAGGACAATTACAGTATAAGAAGCTTGAACAGATAATTACTGGCTCCCGGGCTTCTGTGACTACAACCTATGCAAAATCACACAAGAATTATTTCGAAACGCCAGTGTTCTGTTCCTAAATTGGTATCCGTGATATACAGGTTGTATATAGCCTGCAGTCAAAATTATCTTTTTTGAAATGGAAATTGCAGAGCAATCGCTCCGTAGCAATTTTAGTGAGGAATGAGCGTTCAGCAGAGTTCATGATGTTATATACACAGAAGGAACATAGGCTTTCGAAATAGAGCTAATTTCGAGATTCTTGCCTGGACAATAATGACTGATTATATTACTTACTTTTTTCCGCATTTGACATCATTTGAAAGTGAAAAGGGCAAAATAGGTCTATATACAGGTAAGGCCTGTTTTATACGTCGAATTTCGGTTGCGTCGAACGCAATTCAAACAATAGATAATGCAGCTTAATGAGGTTTATCATCTCATTATCTATTGTTTTAATTGCACTCGACGCGACCAAAATTCGACGTATAAAACGGACCTAAAAAATGTGAGCGCTTCAGAAATCAACCTTTTGTTGTAATTTAATAAACACGCAAACGTCATTACCTCTGGGAGTTTAGATTAATGCATTGTAATCGTACGAGCATATTAAAACTGCGTAAATTGTACATGAAAGTTCTAATTGAAAGTTAAAACGACATAGAAATTAGTCGCGTCAATTCGATTAAAAATGGTTCAACTGACTCAGATCAAAGAGTTTTTACTGTTTTACGCGCTGCGTTAAATTAATCAGCACATAATCATATTCATATATTGAACGTTAACGATACCAAATGTTGAACTTTTAAATAACTGCATATTCGATTCAATAGTGTGTTTACGCACCCATGGGTCCAGCATTGGAATCACGCATTCAAATTTAACAACAAGGTGAATTTCTAAGGGTCACTTTTTCTTAGCGAAGCTGTTTGAAAATGTACTCACTTTTGCAGTAACAATTTGAGCACGATTTCTAAACGGAGGGAGCTTTTTACTTCATTATTAGCATATTTTATTATCTTTTTGTCATTAGTAATTTTTTTCATTATTTTCGTTACTCGTACACAAATTCTTGGGCATGAGCTAGTTTCTTTTTCAGCCTGTTTGTCTCTGCAGGATTTTGGCAGATATGCAGTCATTTGTCTTTGTATGATTTTTTTTGGGTGGGGGGGAAATTATCTCCCCCCCCGTATACGCGTACCTCGTGCCCAATCATAATAACCTTCTTGAATACAATCATTATTTCAATAGAAAAAGCTTTGCAAATAAATTATACCTACCATCCTGAATAAAACATCTGCGACACTTCTAATTATTTGACCAACTTTTGTAATATTATCGCAAATTTAGAAAAACCTCCCCCTTATACCCACCGTTCAATGTTGATTCCATTCTCAGAATGCACGGTAAAAGCAATTGACAATGAAGAAACGAGTAAATTATTCCAATCTACTAGTAAAGGAAGACACAGAGGAATGTTTGAATGGAGTGTCGCTGACTCGCTGATGGTTTTGACCGGAATTGTAGCTTGTTAATTAATTATTTTATAGAAAGCACCACGATAATTAATTTCAAACAATTTACATCATTCGGTGCGAGACCCCTATAGATATGCCTTCTGAGGAGGCTAATCCAAGGGCGCTTTCCATTAACACGGCCAGACCGGTCAGAACGGTTGAATGAAACACAAAACATTTGGGCTTCGGACTTATCTGACCGGAAATCTTAGTTAACATTAGAATGAGGTCCATTTTCGCTAGATATTTGAGAAACATAGACCAGATCTTTCCATTGAAACAGAGAAAATAATTCGAGTCTGACCGGTCAAGCCATTAAATGGAAAGCGCCCCAGATCTTCATCAGTGCAAATAAAGTTGAAGATCCGGGTTCTCGGATCGAATTTAAAGCTTTTCGAAATTAATAGACGAGGTGTTTTGAACAAAGCAAAACAAATTACGTTTTCTGCTTCCTTTCTTAGGTCATTTCGAAGAGTGATGATTTTGGAAGTTGTTAGTTTGATTGTGATAATATCATTAATATGGTTCCTGAAGACCTGCTATGAAAGACGAGGCATGCCTCCAGGCCCGTTTCCGCTTCCTCTCATTGGCAATCTTCATTTGATATTGCATGATGATATGCCTTTTTCAGCCGAGAAATTTCGTGAGAAATATGGCGACATATTTACGATTGCTCTACCAACAGAAAACATCGTGATGATAAATGATACTGCAACTGCGCGCGAGGCTCTACTCACACAAAAAGATATTTTTCATGGACGTATACCCGATGTTGTTTAACCGCTGAACGAGATATTAGAAGGAAAAGATGTCATGGCCATTGATTTGAATCCTGAGTACCGACTTCGCCGTAAAGCAATGAACATGGCGTTGCATATATTTGGAGAGGGGAAGAAGGCTCCGAATGAAAATATAAATGACCAACTTGACGAGTTCTTCATGGCAATAGAAAAGCCGGATGGCAAGCCATTTTATCCTCCAGAGATTGTCGAACGTTCTATTGCCTCCCATCTCTGGGGTTGGGTAACGTGTAAAACAGATAACATTAGTGATGGTACTGCGGATAAATTGCTTGATTTTAACCGAACGTTTTTTGGACTCGTTCCTATTCTGAAGTATTTTCCCACAAAACACGTATTGACAGTGAAGTATGTAAAAAGGAGACTACACGAACTTTTTGTAACCGAAACAATCGAGACGAGACGACCTATCAAGAAGGGAAAAAAACGGGATATCATGGACTCTCTATTAGCATTTTGCATTAAATTTGGACTGAAAACCGATTGCGTCAGTTTCCTATCAGCAGATATCATCCTGGCTGGAGCAGATATACAACCGGGACATTTTTTGTTTGGTTTTTGTTATACATGATCCTTAACCAAGATTTGCAAAGAAAGCTTCAAGCAGAAGTCGATACAGTCCTGCAAGACGACGAGACACTCCAATGGAACGATTATAAAAAGCTTCCTTATTTACAAGCGACAGCCTGCGAAATTATGCGACATTCATATTTCGTTCCGCTGTCCCTTCCTCACAACCCGATGCAAGAAACTCATCTACAAGGCTTTCGTATTCCAAAAGGAACAACCGTTTTCTTCAATGACCATTGTATTCACAGAGATGAGAAAGTGTGGCAGAATCCTTCCGAGTTTAATCCTGACAGATTCCTTGATGAGAGTGGAAAATTTGTTGGTTGGCGTGTGAATCCTGGATTCATGCCGTTTGGCATTGGTCAGCAGAGATATGAACCCTGTTCCCTCACTATTCGAAACATTATTAAACTAAAACCGGTTCATCATATCGATAAATAAACACTGAGTATATAAAGTATAAACTAAACTTACAGATATTATCACTTTATGTACTGAAAATTTCGGGTAAAACACTTTAAAGACACATTTTTGAGTAGCCTGCTCACAGCATTGAAGAAAATTTTGTTGAACAACCCCTCATTTTACAAACGAACTTGAATACTTAATGAACCCCCTGGAATGCCGAAATCTCCACCGAATAAAAATCGATATTCGACTATACATAACTCGGCCGCGGGGACTGGACGCGAAAAAGCAAGAACGTCAAGAATAGTGTGCTCCCGAGCTGAGGCTCGGCAGCAACAACATAAAACTCCTATGGAGGCCTACACGCGCAAAAATCTTACAGCTTTCAACAAGATGTACTGTATTTCATACTTCTTGTTCCCAGTTGGTGACAAGTCTGGAACAAGTAATTATTGTCATCTATCTGGTATAATAAGGTTGGTGAGGTCAACAGGCTTGTAACAAGTTGTTCAAAGAAGTCCGATATTGCTGCACGTAACAAGTTGTTAGCAAATTCATGATAACAAGCTAGTGGCAACTTGTTACGTACAGCCTGTATTATTCATGTTGGGACAAGTTGTAGCAAGTCTGTTCCCGTCATTAGCCTAGTACGAAGGTGATGAACGTGCAAGCTCAAATGCGAGTGGCTGTAAAAGTAGTCCTGCGATGAAATTTTTAAAGTCTTTCAAAGTATTTCACTACCAAACATCGCATTTTGCTTTCGGGTTCATGGTGGTTCCAAGAGGGCAATCAAATGCTTCTGAAAATTCTTTCATATTCGCCAGGGTTCCAAGAACACTAGACAAGATGAGTAAAAAATTCAATTTAATTTTTAACTCTAGCGAGAGAATTTAACACACTTACAATTTTATAATACAGTTGTGCATGGTATTTATAGCCAGGCAACCGTCCATGCAACCGTTCTATGGATGGCCGATTTGAATTTAGACGGTCATAGACGGCCTAAGAAGATGTCTTTTTTAAACAGCAACTCATAAAGCCTCGTTTACACTTGCAATTTGTGCTGCGATTTTAGGGTGCGATTTTCTTCTTCTGATGGATGTGAACGAGTGGATAAGTTATGAATGTTCAGATGAGGGTACATGTACTCGGAACATTCGTTACTCTGATATTTCTCTGTCGAATACCTCAAAAGTCAATTATCCTTTTCGTTTGTATGATGTACATGTATATCGGTTATCCATCATACGGTTATCCTCGAATCTATGATGTATATCATCATACAGATGCACTTTTATGCATGATGTTTATCATCATTCATACACGCTGATAACCCAACCTTCACCCCACCCCTAGACTAACCCTTAGGTCGAAAACAACAATACCAATGTATTCCTTCTTTTCCACAAAAAACCATTCGCATGAGATATCTTATTAATAACAAATTAGATTATAATTTTGAATTTTTGCAATTAGTTTTGCTGCTTTGTTTTAAGATGCACGCGTTTGTTTTCACGTAATGGATCACCACCATACTAATGGTAGTATAGTTAATCATGCGATGGCGAGTACAATTAGGGATTAATAGTACGAGTACTATTAATCCATAATTGTACGAGCAACATCGCATGATTACTTGTTTATTATTAGCATGACAAAATTGGATACTTCTCAATGTTAACATCATATATTCTCTCGCCAAAGCCCAGTCCTGCCAGACTTTCAACCACAATTTGGTGCTTTTGTCCGTTTTTTCATTTAGTTCTTTTGTTAAAGCAAAATTTGGTGCTTTTGTTCGTATATTCATCTAGTTCTTCTACGGCAATTTCATTTCATGCTTGTGTTTAAAATACCTTTCCGCCATTTTAATTTGTTTGTTTTGAAAAAATAATTAATTGTACTGCAGTACAATTAATGAAATAATTGTACTCCTCTCAACCAATTGGCATCCAGTAATTTTGTCATGCTAATAATAAACGGGGAAATAAAGGACCGCTGAAAATGCTTCTCAGCTAATCACAGTCCGCCATTTAACCGGAAGTGATGCTTGCCATATAATAAATAGTTCTTAATTCGTTTTGGGTCACCTAATATTTTTCTTGGGTTTCTAACCTTCACTTATAATCTCGAAATTCTTCAAATAAATAAAATATCTATATCTTGAAATAATTTAGCAGTTTTGATTTCCTCATTAATATTCAGTACATATTAGCATGTACATTCTACGTATGTTCATTTAAGATGAGGTAGCCCATCATATCTTAGCTCTCAATTTGTGCGCGCAATTTTTGACCGTGAGTCACTATCAATTATTTCCAAGGGGCGCGCCCAAGGTTCTCCGATTCAAAATGGGTTTGTTATTGTCAAGGTGATTGTTATAATATTTTATAATATAAGATTTGGAATACTGGGCGGAGGATACTTTTTTGTAAGTCAATTTCGGAAGTTGTTTTTGTGAAAAATGAACAACTGCACCTACTGTTGAGCTTTACAAATAATATAAAAGATGAAAGCCATATATAGATTATAAATGTTCCTTTGATTCGTTTGCTGTAAACATGACTTTACATGCATATATGATCTGGTTTCGGAGAGTATATGAAAACGTACCGAAATTTTGTGGGCGCGTGAACGTCTTCAGTCACAGATAGGAACTCAGAGGTGCTCGTCGTTTTTGTACACTCTTTCTATAATCAAAGTATTAATAAAAATTAGAATGTACGATCGAAGGAAACGATTTGAGCACAGGCGTACACGGGGGGGGGGAATATTATAGGGGAACGGACACAAATATGCCCGATATCACCGATTAGATCAGTACCCAAAATACCGAGGCGAGCTGATCTAGCAAATACTAGCAAATAGTAGAATCTGCATGACTGGGGGTGGCTGGCAGGGCCTTTTTTAAGAATTTGTCAGTGGAGCGGCCATTACGAGAGAATTGAGAATATGTCATTTGAGTAATGTTCATGTTATTTGCGCATTTATGGAAATATACATGCAGTGAACTGAGACCTGCTAACAACTATATATGAAAACGATTTACTTGTTATTGTGAAACCATCGGGTATGCAGGAAAGAGTTAATATATCTTACTTGCGCATAACCAATGAAAAACAGTTGTTGACTGGTCTTATCCAAATCAGGTAAGATTTCTTCCTCCCCATTTTCTTTAATCCAGTCAACATATGCCTACAGCAAATACACACAAAATTAATATTACTTTTTGCAGTAACTTCAGGGGATGCGAAAAAGCGGATCCCCGGGGACTTAAATTTGGTTCTCGCGAGTTTGTATGCTCTTCTGTCACGAAATTTTCGTACACGAATTTTAAGGTCTATCTTATCTACCTAATATCTTGGAACACTATTCTACAATTATGGCGAAAATTCCGTGGAAATATATTTTTATATAATACCATTAAGTTATGGTCATGTAATATAACATCTGACCTCATTAAATTATGGTCAATTATGATCACGCTCAGCCGTGCAATGGTACTTGTACTATACAACGGTGGGTACAATCATTCAAAATCATATTCGTATCGTAAGACCGATACTGAGACCGATGGAATTAAATTCAAATACATAACACTGATGCGAAACAAAAATACAACATTTCTACGATAACCCTTACGATAATTTATACGCCATTATCATATTTAAAATTCTTTACAAAAACGTTTGTTCGCACTTTTTTGTTGGATTTTAATTATTTTTGAACAAGTATGTATTTGTTTTGGATTTAATTCACTTAAAAGTTTAATAAAATTGTATTTATTTAAATTGTATGTTATACAAATAATGAATGTTTATGAGTGCAATGGTAAGAATATTTTCATGAGGTGATAGATGCGACAGCCGAGTTGAATGGAACATTTCGTATTTCACCGAATGAAAATATTCTTACCATTGCACGAATAAAAAACATTCATTATTAATTTGTTTTATATAATACCAAAGTAGACTAATATTAAAAGGTTTACTGTAAGCTCCCGCCATTTTGACGAGTCGTATTTGCATTAAATCCCATTTACTGAGTTTCGAATATCGGGTTAAAATAAACTGCGATCACCGTACGAGAAGCATTTTGACGGATGCGATTTATCGTAAACACAAAGAGTGCAATGGAATAAAACGTATCTAGTACAACTGCACTCGCAGAGAGTGCAATGGAACGTATTCCATTGCACTCTTGGGAAATGGAATTTTCTATTCAATATCACGTGACCATAAAGAGCAAATTAAACGATCAGAATTGAATAAGGTACATGTATTATATATAAAAATTTATTTTCGGTTCATTCGTGCAATAGTAAAGATATATTCATTCGGTGAAAGACGGAATTTTCCATTCCACTCAGCTGTCGCCTCGTGAAATGGAAGATTTCATTTTCAATTCACCGTATGAAAATAATTTTACCGTTGTACTCATAAACATTCATTATTACACTGGCTGTAGGCCAAGTGTCTTAAATCCCTCTTTTTCTGCTTTCTGTTTTCTTCGTCGCAGGCTCAGGGTGCAACGACTAAGCCAAAATACCATCGATTCCCCTCGGTTCCGTGATTTAGATACTACAGTAACAAGCTCGTATTTATGTACGTAATAGCCGGCTCATGCCATGCTTGTGGTATATTTTTCGTTTATTAGCCCATACACTTGTACGCACGCGCACAATTCCGAACTCCAAGGATAGAGTGCTATAATGACATATTCAGTTCAGTTTCAAAATGGCGGTTTTTCACTGAGCGATCTAATATATATTTCACACAGTTTCGTTGAATTTTCAAAGAATTGTGCCGGTTTCCTATGGAAAATACGTTGTGCTGCACTCTGGACTACTCTCTTACGTGTTGAATTGATGTGTTTTTCTTTGTGTAACGACTCGAAAACCCCAAAATTTGGACCCAGCGAATTTATACAATATAGTGGATTAAGTGGAATATAAACAAGGACAAGTTTAAGGTTTGACAGTTTGACTTTTTAAATATACGTTGTAGACTCATAAACAAGCGTTGTGCACTTGTGTTCATTTGTATAGTTATAGATTTGCACCTAATTACATTAATTTAATTGCGCCAAATTACTTTCCATTTCATCATATATTACTATAAAAATGTATTTTTTTATTGTATTCAGCGAGGTGGCGTTGCGTGCGGCGAAGTCAGTGAAACGTGATACGGTTCAATTTGTTTTTGGAACAAGATCCAACTTCCCCCCCCACACTTTTTTAATTCTCAAATTGTTTATTAGATGTTTACTGGTTGGGGTTAAAGAAGGGCTTTGGGTTGGGATCAGTTTACCTTATAAATGGAAGCAAATTGGTGTATTTTTTAGAAGAATCGTCTATGTCTATGAACTTTTTAGCGCATGGAACTAGCCATATAATGGCATTAAAAATCAAGGACTATATAATTTCTTCGCTATTATTGGCCCATCATTATTTACGGTTGATAGTTAATGATCATAGTTACATTGGGCCTGGCTGGCCCATCATTATTTACGATTGATAGCTGATGATCATAGTTACAGTGGGCCTGGCTTGCCAGGTTGAGTTGCCGTAGCAGGAGGGTACGCCTGAGCCGGCGTCTTGGTATATTATGGTTGATAATTGCTGATCATGATTGTATTTATTGGTTGTATTTATATGGTCCAGACCTCCTGTATCCCTATCTACTTCTCTACTACACATTACACCCTACCACGAAAGTTGCCATTTTCAGGCCAGTGTGAACGCCTGAGCAGGCGTCTTGTTTGTATAATATCACATGTTGGCATTTTTGTAACATTGCATCATACAAAGCTAAATTTATAGGATTTTCAACATTGAGCTGTGGAAGGTGGATATGGAAATTGTGTTTTTGCAAGGACTTTATCATACAGGTGGACTCGATGTATTTTTTATTTATCCACGCGCTGTCCACAATAATGTTTGCCAGGATTCTACATGTGTATATATTGGAAATCGTGTTATAAGCAAAAGTCTTACACGGTAGGCCATTTTAATTCCTCCACCATCCGCCATGTTTTCACCAAGTGTTTCCTTGCCGTCAACCTGGTTTAAAATATTAAACATTACAAGAAATGCAAATAACCAATAAAATGTTGGTTTTCCGTACTTTCCTGCTGGAGGGCTAAACACTTATTCGAGGGACAAATCACTACTAAAAAGTGCACGAGATAAAAAAATCATGTGATATTTTTTGTGATTTTTTTATTTTTCACGGATTTTTTTTTTATTTTTTCAAAACCTTTTTTCCCTATTCGCTTTTATAATTTTTTTCAAACAATACTTATTTCTTCAAATTTTTGTGTTTTTTTTTTCTCTCACTCTTTGCTTTTTTTAGCACTTTTTGCCATGGTAATTTTCTCTTTTCCTACTTTTGAGAGAACAAACAAAGGGTAATTAAAGTAGAACTAACTTGATCTTTTTATTTTTGTTGATTTTTACAATTTTTATTTTTTTTGTGATTTTTCTGAGGGTGTATGTGATTTTTAAATCAAAATTGAAGTCAAACATATGCACAGTCAATAAGTGCGAGGGGCAAATCACTGATTTAAAAATCAGTGATTTGCCCTCGCATTTATTGACTGTGCATATGTTTGACTTCAATTTTTGCTGTATGCACGTATTCATTCTAATTTTAATTCGCCTGTATCAGTTGTGAGAGAATTTGACCTCTATAGGGACAACATTTTAAAACTTTTAATACTAAAATTCGCATTTAATAATTCATGAAAAAATTGAAAAGTAGCGAAGGGTTAATCAATATTTGTAAATCGCATACGATTCGCATACGTAAACCGATTCCATCCTGATATACATAAAGTACTTATATAATTAAATGCATTTGTATTTTAAGTATAATACAACGCATTCGCGTCCAATCTTTATTTGCCAGATTTACTACGGCTCGCTTTGTAAATCAGACCAAGATCGGTTGTTCATGCTTTGCATATATATATGTTTGGGAAATTGATCATTTTGTAATTAAAAGTGATAGTTTGGGGGGATTTTTCAATTTTAAAACTATTCTTAAAATGATCGTACAACAAGGCGAGGGTTTCTGCATGCATGTATTTTCTAGTATTAATAATAATAACAGACCAATAAACATTTCTTACGTGGAATTTATTGAGTACTTTATATTGTCCAAACTGTTTCACCAGGCACTCGGCTTTTTCTTTGAAATGCTTGATTGATAGTTTACTCCAGCCTGTTGCATTTCCAATTAACTCGCCAGCATTATCAAACTTACGTCCTATGAACGATCACATACTATGAACTCTAGTCATTCACACTGATAGCTAACGAAATTGGTGTGTTATACAGACCAGGGCATTGTATACAATTGCCTTTACGAAAATTTCGTTTTGACGTCTGCCTACTACCTTCATATTATCTACTATTACCAAAATTGTGGATGCCCGAGAAAACGTCTCTTGTTTTCGTGTAAAGACATTCAGGAATTCGGCTACATTCATAGGCGTACGGGAGGGGAAAATTAGGGGGGGGGGCAGAAATAAATTTACCCGACGTTTTCCCATTATGCCCGACTCACAAAAAAATTTTTCTGTGTTTCTGTGTAAAGTCTCCAACGAAAAAAAGTTTCGGCATCTGTGATAATTTCTCTTAATTTTGATATATTTCTTGCATTTTCAACTATTATATTGCATATTTCTTCTTTTTAACGTTATTTCCCCCATCTTTTTGCCCAACTTACGTTTATAATTGCCCGACTTCATTTTGACCGGGCGTGTGGTTGACGCCCCCCCCCTCGCCCGGTACGCCCATGGCTACATTCCTACGTCTATTATTGCCAAAATGTCAAACTATTATAATTAGCTAACTTCAGTACAATTTCCCACTGCAGAACAATCAGACATATAGCGCCATTTTTGAGTTGTCGATTTCACGACGACGTTAGGGAACGTAGCGTTCCTGAATGTTTTGACACAAAAAACATGATACGCAAAACGCTCCTATATAAATACAAATTCGATCGCTCACATTGAAAATATAGGAACCTTAATTCCACAGTCATAACATGGGTTACCTGTATCATCAAAACCATGAGTCAACTCATGACCCAAAACATGACCAATAGCTCCATAACTGATTGACCTGGGAAAAACAAAAATATACATGCACTATAGAAACGGCCAAATATGCAGATGCGTTTGGATTTATCGTAAGTTGAATGTATTTCAAATTCACAGGATGAATAAATTTACCTTGGAATCACGTCCGAATAGAAGAAAGGTGGCTGTAGAATTCCAGCAGGTATAACTAAATTGACAAAATATAATTTATTTCAAAACTCTACTTATTGCATGAACTATATAAGCGTGCGAGGCATTAGAGCAATGCGACAGATGATTTAGGGTGGCAGGCCATTTGCGTCTATAATTTTATCAAATAATCAGGTTTGGTTACCCACAATGGAGCAAGAGCTCTGTGGGTCTTATCTGTCTACATGACAAAACTTGTAAATAGATATACGTAAGTAAAAAAAAAGCTGCATGCCGAGGTAGCTACAGCATTTCAATATAAGAGCGCCTTAAAAAGTGAGATGGATGAAATATCTTGCATGGTCAATACATCGTATTCTTTTTCAAATTAGCATTTTCATTAATTTATTATCATTTACCAGTGTTTTAAATTACAAGTGCTTTTAGCTTTCGAGAATTGGAGAGAAGACATCAAGAGTGACCATCTCGAAAAACAACTTAACAGGATAAGTCAATTTTATGAAAAATATTCAGCTACGTGTTTCATCAAAAAGTGGCGTCGTCATATCAGGGGGCCCCCGGTTCAAAATTTTCGAAGGCCCCCTAGTAGAAGTGCCAAAGGCACGAGTCGAGCGCCGTATATGCACGAGTTTTCTAGGGGGTCCAAGGCATGCTCATGCGAAACATTTTTGAACCTAGACTCTCTGAAGTGCCATTTCCTGGACTTTGGGGACAGATTTTACAGAATTCTGATGGTCAGAAAACGACATAGTGTCTGAGCCCATATAGTAGTTACGCCACTGTCATCAAAGAAATACTTCAAAATTCATCCTTCACAATCACTTAAGCTCGTGAACCCATACTTCATACTGTTGGGAGGATGATTTGAAACATGTTAATCAGATTATTGTTAGTTGGATGCATTCTTGTAAGTAAACACGACCAGAAATGGCACAGAAAATATCGCCGTATCGCTGAGTATTCGTTGCATATAATATTATATGGCAACGCAGGCTGGCCAAAAACTTTCGCGCGCTTTTTATTTTGCTTTACTTTGACTTATTTGCCAGACAACAAGGCTCAAATTGTTGCTTTAAAGTGTTTTTAATTATCCTTGAGTCACCTATTCTTTATTTCAAAATTCTACCGTCAAAACATTTTGCCGAATATTTCGTGAAATAATTTTGTGGACAGTACGCTTCATTAATATAATGTACACATCCGCGTGTACAATATACGGTTGCTCAGTTAAGATTAACCTACGATCAGGCATTCTTGGCCTGATCGCAGTCCATTCGTGGCTGCAATTTCTGATCTCAGGGTGAAATCCTGTCAATGCTGATACGAGGTAGAGTAAAAAACTTACCAACTTCGTTTTTAGTAATGACGTAGAAGGCGTTGACTAAATGCGGAACAGTTATCCAACTAGAATGTAAAAAAGATTATATAGCGCCAAGTCATAAGACAATTTAGTCCCGGCTATGCAAATTCGAAATTATTATTATTATTGATTTCTTTAGAAATTGATTGTTTTCACAGTCAATGAACACGAAAATATTTGCATAGTGGGACTAAATCGTCGGGCTGGCTACGCTTCTGCCACTGGTCATAACGAATTGATTTTTTCGAATTTTAGAAAGTTTTATTTTGTTTGTTAAGGAAGAAAGATTCGAAATATCATTACAAACAGAGGAAATCGTATATATCTCACAGATTATATAGAAAAAACAATTACTTACTGGCTTTTATCTCTTTTTTGTCCAAGTTTTGCGAACGTTTGCATAAGAGAAAACTTATCTGTGTTCACAATATTCTCGAACCAACGACCATCCGTTATTTCCAGCTAAAAGAAAGCAGCATTTGCTGTTAATAATTTATATGATTTTATCTCATTGATAATTCATATAGTAGATTTGCAGTACTTGATTTCCCGCCTTACAAAAATCGACTACCCTTTTATTAATTTCCTAACAATATATCTATAGTACCTTTCTGAGAAAGTGTCTGCTAGCTCCCTGACGGCAGGGTTATTGAATAAATGATTGCAAAAAAAGAAAAGCTTACTGCTTGGTATCTAGCTGAAAACTCATTCTCATTCCAGAGATAGTGAGGATAACCAACTTTTATCGTGGCCGCATTCACCTGACAAGACAAATCAAGATTATTGGTCAACATGATGACTTACATTGAATCTCATAGGAAGCCAGCGATATAAATTTAATATACTGTACCTTTTCTCGAACAGCCTTCTCACTTTGTGGGCTTAACCAATGTTCTTCCTTAGCATTTTCTTTGAACGCTTGGATGATTTTTGACATCATATCCTCCACCTAAAAATGTCAAGAGAAATGTTCAGAACATTTTCTCCCAAGAGGAATGGTGTTTAATTCTTTACCCTTAATTCTTGCCGGAATAATTAATTTACCCCATTCCTGCTTACGGGCATTACAAAAATTAGAATGTATGATATGCATATCGCACCACTCCTAAATTCGTAATTTTCATGCACGCAAGAAATATTCACATTTTAGAGATTATATTTGCAATTTCACGTCCATTATGTATTATATTTCGATTTCTATAAAATACCGAGATCCATGCTCATGCAATATCTCTTACAATCTCGCGTGTTTTCAGTAGACTTGTTTTATCCTGTGTCTCAATGACCATCAAAAATCACAAGTGCGTCCAATCGCTTTTAAACTCTTCACTCTTTTCCAGCCACAAAACCAAAATTGTAGACCCGCATTTGAGTCATTTCAGCAAAATACATTGTTAATTCCCCTTCAAATAAGAAGCAAGAACCTACCTTCGCTTTACTTTCTGGACTGAAAGCTTTCCGTACGAAGAGTGAACCCAATATTGGGCCTAAGATATTATCTGTGTAACTGAAGCAAATCTTACGGCGAGGCTTTATAGTTGCTGAACCTTGGATCTTTTCTTTAAACTTGTAATATGTCTTCCTGAAACGTCTGTCCAGCAAGGGGACAACTTCTTTCAGTGTTCTCCAAACCATGTAATTGGATAAGATGCTTTAATCGAAATAAAAGTATTCCTGTTATAAATGAACTCTATCTGTGGCACAAGACTTGCCACAAATTCGCCTCAGAATATTTTCACTCTTAATCTTGGGCTTAATTAATGACATCACTTGAAAGTAACTTTGCGAAAAGTTTAGTATTAATTTAGTAGGCAAGCTTAATTCGCTTTCTTCGGCGAAATGCGAAAAAAATCGCGCAAAATGAATTAGGTGTATGCGAAAAAATTCGATTCACCAGTGAAATTTTCCATGCACTAATTCTGCGAAAGATAAAATAGTGGGAAAATTTAACACAATCACTCATGTGCAACCATCTGTAATTCGCAGGCACAATTTCTCGCGAAAAATTTCGCCGTCGTAATCAGGCCTTTAGAGCAGCCTCGTACGCAGGCGCAAATAACTAAAAATAGGCATACTACAGTGTTTTTATATAGATCAGTGGTGGCTAAGCTGAGCGAGCGCGCGGGGGTGCTTGGGGAGGACTTTAAATAAAATAGTCGGCTGAAAATTTGTGAATCTGGTGAATTTCCGCGCAGGGGCCTAGGGGATACCTACAAGACGGGCTTCAATCATCCTCGTCCCCAGGCCCAAGCTTCACTGTGAGGGCCGCCCGAGCTTGGGCCTGGGGACGAGGATGATCTTCAATGTCCACCATCTTGGCTTCAAAAACAGGGCCGGAATAATTCCAGTTCACTGGGTTGACGTGGTTTGAAAGGGCCACTTTTGGCATTCCATCGCAGTATGAAGATATTTAATATTATTTAGTTAATATAATTACCTTTTCTTTGTCTTTTTAATAAGATCAATCATTTTTGGGATATAACTGTTGGCCAGGATTACCACAGGTTCAGACTTGTTGATTGTTCTGTTCTCAAATAACGCCTGAAGATGTCCATGCCAATCTAACTACAAAAATATTCATGAAACAAATAAAAGAATGCACTATGTAGCAATCTTACAATCAATAAATATAATTAGACATCACTGAAATTGATTAAAAAATAACGCAACTGCAGTGGATTTTCAATGACAGTTTTTCTCTGAAAGAGGTTTGTTTACACTATTTGTCACACATGCCCTTTAATGAAGATATTGAACATAGTCAATCTAAGAAATGTTACTGCTAAGTGTTTTTAATATGTATTCTGACGTTCAAAAGGACGAGTTGAGGGGATGAGAAATCATTGCAATGGAATTGCTTAGGGTTTTTGCGTTGAAAATCGAACATAGGACGTTTGTGGTGACGTAGGTTGAGAGAACTGGATGACGGTACTGAAAAACCGTAATTCCTCCATCAACTCCACCCCAGTTCCCAAAACACTCGGTATGTCGAAGTCGAATTAAGTGGTGCATAAACATGATATGGTATGGTACGGTATAGTATGGTATGGTATGGTACGGTATGGTACGGTATGGTATGGTACGGTATGGTATGGTATAGTGTAACAAATTATATAAACTATTATTGAAAAAATTAGTATATATAATATCTTTCAACTTACTCCAGGAACAGCTTTCTCTAGTTTCTGAAGTGGAACTTTCACGTATCTTTTTGCTGATTTTGGAACCAAAATCTAAAAATCAACAAAAAAATATTTTGTTGTTGGTCGATGTCACATCCTGTTATAAGGAAACCTCCAAAGCTAATAATTTTGAACAGAGCATGTTTGTCTATTCGACTACTAATTGAAGCCTGGCTTTGAGTAAATTGTCAGCTGACTACTTGGGCTGGGGTTGACAAGCTTAAAATTAATTACATGAAGCAGTTCAACCAGAAGTAATTTTAAAATTAGACAAGACATTTCCGAAATGTAATAACCAGCAAAACCTTCAATGGCAGGTATGTGACACACGAATATACGCTATTAAAGGCGCTGTTACGACTTGTCTCGCAACATTGCTACGACGCATGGTCAGTAAATATTTAAATTGCAAAGACGTGTAACATCCCTTGCAATCTTCGAGTGTCCCACAGTTTTTGTTCCAGGATTGTGGAAGCCTCCTTCGAACTTTTGTAGTAGAAATATTGCGAGGCAAGTTACAATAAGTTGCATCGTGTAACCTACAGCGCCTTAACTTTTCCATGAGAAAATGGAGCAGTAAGAGGTAATTTGTAAAAAAACCCAGGAAGAATTAAGGGAACACCAAGCACTGAAAAAACGAATTATTTATGATAAATTATACAATGTAGCAATGCAGTCGCGTATTCTGTTTTACTAAATTGAACGCCAGGAAATTTTACTAGTCAAGATCACGTTTGGGGTATCGTGTTTTTTTTTTTAAGAACTGTAATACCACAATGGGCCCCAGTCTGCTTTGCTATTCAACTATGTCCAGAACCAGCTAAATCATGTATTGTGCGTGTATGTATCCCAGCTTGTGCATATTGGCACAGACTGGGCACTCCCGATTACAAACCATTCCAGAACAATGTTCTCATTTTTCAGAATAAAAAATGGAGCAGTGTAAATAATGAATAATTTTTCACCTTTGCTAATTGGGCTTCAAATTTGATGACCTCTTTCATAGTTTCAGCAGATTTGTTTGTTTTCGCTCCGACTAAGTGTCCGACTTCTGTCATGTATCTCCATAAAAGACGAATATCCTGAAACATAAACGCATATTAGTCGTAATGTTTTCAAGGCTATTGTAAAAGGCAGTTCCTGGATGTGAATGTATACTTTTTTATATAATCCATCTGGTTTGATCTTACACCAATTTAATAACTTAAGCTTGGAAGATTGTACAATAGTAAAGGTATGCTACTTACTGCGGCGCTGGTGAAATAGATAATTTGAGGTAAATCAAGAGACGCTTGATCGATCTAGAAAGTATTAAAAGGAAAGATTAGGTTATATTTACATCATACAGGTCCAGTTGGAGCCTGCTTTTAGAATTTAGGTTGATCCTCATTTTGTATTACAGAATGAATTTAAACTGGATTTACTAAAGATGACCTCTCTTGCATGCATGCACATGCGTCTGATGTCAAAAACTAGAGAATTTAGGATCTACGACTCTCTCCTCTGCAGAGGCTTACATGAAGTTTCTAGTGCGAGAAAGTGAGCGCGCAAGGAGTAATGGGAAGAGCTAAATAAAGGAAGCCTCTGCGAGTTAATGCAATCAATATGGCGTCGTATATAATCGTTTGTAGCGAAGTTCGATCAACCATCGGGGGTGTTAAAACATGTTTTCGACTTTCATTTTTAGGCGTACTTGTGTATCCTGGGGTGAATTCAATATCAATATCTTCTTCTGTCCATTTGCATCGAAAGATATTGAGAAATTGCAAACGAATATCAATGGACACGAGCTATCTGATTATAAATATCCTCTTAATTGCAATATTTCTTTATAAAAATGACTCTACTGAACTTCGATACTCAGATTATGAAGATTCATTTCAATTTCTTTCACATTTCCGTCGATTTCAAGTTTAAAAAAAGGTCAAACAACTAGTTTGGTTCAAAAACCATACTTCGTCGCATTATCTGGCAGAGCCTCCCCAACTTCATTTCAATCTTCCCATCACACCGCGCGCGCTCACTTTTATTCAGGAAACTTCATGTAAGTTATTTGTAAATACTTAAGGAGGCTGTGCGGAGGAGAGAGGGAACTACGACGCGTCATGCAAGACAAAAACTATGAATAATTTCGGCTACTTTCAACAGCGTTGTCATTCTCAACACAATGTTAAATTATAGATAAGCATTTTCATGTACGTCGTTCGTCGTTCATTTTCATGTAAAGCTTATGTTGTTACTTAAAGTCGGGCTTATAGCATTGATATAACCATAAATTAAAACTTAGCTCTGTGTAAGGTTACGTGAAAAAGCTTCAAACATATATCACAGTAATAAGATCACTTAACGCCCGCGTCGTCGAGTTTGCCACGTCGTAGCTCTTAAGCTCTCTATACTGATCAGACAAGCAAAACTTAGCAGGATTCCAACCTCGGCTGACTATGAAGCCATGAAGGCACATGCATGTATGCATATCCTCAAAAGTCAATCTGACAGAAACTGTTGATAGTCGATATCACTTTATTTGAAATCAATTAGAGAAGATATGATGGTGATACTGTCTGATACATCCCTGCAACAACTGGGAAAGTTCGAAGAGTGGACACGTTCTGACGAATCGGATTTATATCTTATTCAACTTGGTAGGGGTTAATTTGCAACATTTCGTGAATTTTTTTATCTATACATGCATGAGAGGTTGAGAAAGATGACATGCGTTTCTGCTGGGGCCAAGGTTGCAAACCAGCTACAACATTGGAACCTAATAAGGCAATGACTTACCATTATGACTTCTTTCTTGCTTTTATCATGTTTAGTCGGGTTCGGAATGACGTCCACAACAAAAAATATTTCCGCTGGAGATGTTTTGTGTAGAAGTTTCAAAGTATCGTAGAAATTCCACATCTTTGGGTCCCAAGTACCGTCTTCAGCCAGTGCCCAAGAATGCATTTGGTGTATAAACTTCAACGCAGGTTCTTTTCCTCTTTGGTCGATAGTCTTCGTATCAAGACATGACCGGTAAAAATTCTTGACTTTCTTCAAAGTTGGCGAATCCGTGGGCTCGTCCGTTTCTAAAGCATCCATGAGTATCCTCTCATTGTTCATACTCAGTTGAGTTATGGCGGAAAATTGGGTTCGCCCCTTGGGAATCGTGTGATTCTTTATCCACGATCCACATGAATACTCGAAGAAGTTGTCGCAGGGGTTGACCGAGACATTGATTGATTTTAGGATTTGATCAGATACATGTCTACAATGTTCATGATTACAAACTTTTGCGCTCTTGCTCCTTATGATTGTCGATGGATTCGATGGATGGCATAACATCATGGACGGTAGAAACAGCATCAAATATAGAGAAACTAATTTTTCTGACCTTGGTTTCATATTATAACCGCGACAATACAAAACTATATATTAAATACTAAAATCTGTGTTACCACTCCTTATTTCGCTCCAACAAGCAACCAAAATCCACTATTCAACACCTTTAGTGTTTCTATTCGAACCAGATATCGATAAATATTGAAAATTAGCTTAAAGCAAATAGTTTATATAACATACAAACTGATTTATTAAAGACGACGATATTTTTTATAAGAGCAAATGAACAGTGGGCGAGCAGGTACCATAATTTGAACAAAAACATCATGAATAATTAAGCACATTTTGGACTACTATTGACATGTATAATGGACTACGATTCCATATAAACGTTGATCGTACTAGTTTATTCTAAACTTTACAATAAAATAAATATTATAAAGATAATTTTAAACATGTTTTAGCAACACGGGTGTGGATCATGTGTTTTGGGAAAGACAGGTAGATGTGTATGGACAAATTTTACTGCTGGTACGTAATTAAACGATATTGAATCGGTTTGATCGCAGTGAAATTGTTGCCGGATCGGGAATTTTGTCTTTTTCAAGTTTAAAAAAAAATCAATTTATTATTATAGACGTTCATAACGGCCTTCGCTCGAAACGTCTGTTCTGAAAGTTCTGCTTATATTTTTCAGGTATGTAGTTCTATTCCTCTCAATGCGATGCCTGGATTCTGTTTACGCCGGATAAGCGGTGGGATCATATAACCCGCGCATATAGCTTCTATTGCAATCATAGTATTGCCATTTGAGTGTTAATTTTGCCTAAATTTTTTTATTAGTTTCCATGAAAGCATTAGACTAGTTCTACTACCTGACCAAGTTTGGACGAAAAATGTTGAAAACTCGAAGAGTTATTTAATAAAATACATTTCGCTTGCAATAAGAAAAACATTGAAAATGTAATTTTCAAATTCAATTTTCTCCCGAAGAATTTTACGGCAATTACTGATTTTTAAACGAGTTGTGCTCCTGCGGGTTGTAACGAATTTTTCTCAAATTTTCACAGGACATAGCTAAAGACGTCAGTTTCAAAATTGTGTTCGGCTTTGTTCTAATTTTGGATATTTTAATAATAAGGAGCAATTCACACAAACGATTCAGAAATATATTGCAGTCGTCAAAGAAATCGCCATATCAGCGGAATTACAAAATAAACAAAAATTTCCGAACACAATTTTTTAGAACAACTATTTTACTGTATAAAAATGATATTTTCATAAATATATCTTAAAACCAGCAGGAACATAATTCAAAAGCGTAAAGGTACCGCGACTTAAGATTTTCCTGAATAATTCTTACATTATTTTATTGTTTGTCAATTTTACAACTTTATCATATTTTGCATGCACTGGCTAACATTTGTTGAAAATTTGATGAAAATCGGACTGATTTTGAGCGCGCAGTAGCGATTTTCCGCAAAACGCCAAAAAGGGTGTCCTGTAACCTTAACTGAGGCGAAAATTTCACTTTAATTAAGCCTTTAATAAGTAAAAATAATTTCTTTATTTTAATTTTTTTACTTCCAACTTTTTCGCAGCGAATATTTTCGCTGACCAATCACATTGCCGAAATTTCACTGGCTCACGACCCCCATGGAAGGGTCATCATCTACCTATACTATCCAGGCTCGTGTTGGTTGCTTATAACAATGAAAGACAATAAAATTATAGAAATCGTCTTTCTAAAGAACGAGTCACGAACAATGATCATTTTTGTTTCTGATTTTTTTAGGTAGGTCTTTACCCCCATGGAAAGTTAGGGCTTAGAACGGGCCAAAGTCAACGACGTGACGTATGCATGTAGTGTACATATGTATCATTGTATTAATGAATTATGACTGTACAACTCATCCAATTTTGCCATTCATTACAATTTCTACAAAGTTTCTTTCAAAACATTGCATTAAAAGGGTACTTGACACAGAGATGAATAATGGCTATCACTGTTTCAATTTTACAGAAAAACTTTCTTACGAAGTGTAGACCCTAAGCAACCAAAAAATGTCAAATTCTCACTTAGATCTATCATTGAAACTTTCCCAAGGGGAGGTGCATGCATGACTTTTCAGGGGAGGTACAAAAATTCTCAGGGGAGGTGAAAAACGATCTCACGGGAGGTGCGAACCTCCAAATCCGGCCATGCAATATAACAGCCATTGGCTTCATTTAAGCACAGCATATGCTCTATCCAGTCCAAGGTTTGAGATCAGAAGCGGAACATTTCAGAAGAACTCCGCCATAATTGCTCGTTATCACAAAGCCTGTATTGGGGCCTTATATATTCATTTTAATACTTGATCAAAACAACTATTTACAGCGTGAATATTGGATTACCACCGCCTTGTGACGACATGACAACAATATTCATAAGACTATTTACTTTTAATTTGTATATATTGCTTTATGCTAAAATATGGACCGGAACATTTTAATTAGTTGCTGCTAGTATTGATGAACCGGTGAATATACAGTATAGACATCATGATGAAACGATCATTCCTCGCATAAACATAGGTAAAAACATAGATGAGTTCTATTGTAGAAGTCAATTGCTTCCAAGAAACGTTATTCATGCAGTTACTATGTACAAACATACATAGTATGAACTATGTTAATTTCGTTTTCATGCATTAACCAGCCATTATAATATTGGACACGTATTTGCAGAAAAGTATTGAACACTTATTTGCCTATACTTTCGCCATTTTGGGTGGCAAATTAAAAATAGTTAAAGGCGTCAAAAGAAGACTGTCGCACTTATATATTGCGGCTGTTGGTTTTGTTTGAGCACTTTGAAGAGTTATAATGATCCACAGCTGCGCAGTAGTCAGTTGAATAAAATATTTTTGCCACCCAAAATGGCGGATTATTTTTCATGCTACGTCATACTACAAGACTTGAATAGTATAATTTGATGGTCGCTTAGACTGAAAGCTAATCAAGGACTTATTACACTGACCTGAAAGGTAAGTGTCTTAAATCCCTAGTTTTCTGTTTTCTGTTTTTTTCGTCGTCGAGAAATCGAGTTTGCGTTCGCGCATCGCAGGCTCAGGGTGCAACGATTAATCCAAAATGCCATCGATTCTTCGACTCCACGATTCATATATAATAGTAAGAAGCTTGTATTTATGTACGTAATAGCCTGCGCATGGCATGCTTGTGGTGCATTTTCCGTTTATTAGCCCATATATAGACTT